GTGAGAGCATTAAAACTCCGATTTTTCTTTTTCACATGTATTTTGGACCACCCTAATGTACATGTACACATAAATGTGTTTCTTTCAGTTTACACGCAGAATTGTATTAATTAGTTTGAATCACACAAATCAGAAATTAAAATCTGCTAAAATTTTATAATATACATTCATATGTATGCACATACATAAAAAAAAATTGTGTGGAATTCAATCGTTTAACAGTATAATTATACAGCAATGCGGCTGGATATTAAAGGATGAAAGTATAATAGTATGCCAGTAAGTTTGCCTGTCGGCTGGAAAAGGGCAAAAAAACGCCGAAAAATGTCTCATAAAAAATCATTTGTAAAACATGCCACAAAGTAAAATAGAATCTCAAGCAATGCATNGCCCTAATGTACATGTACACATAAATGTGTTTCTTTCAGTTTACACGCAGAATTGTATTAATTAGTTTGACTCACACAAATCAGAAATTAAAATCTTCTAAAATTTTATAATATACATTCATATGTATGCACATACATAAAAAAAAATTGTGTGGAATTCAATCGTTTAACAGTATAATTATACAGCAATGCGGCTGGATATTAAAGGATGAAAGTATAATAGTATGTCAGTAAGTTTGCCTGTCGGCTGGAAAAGGGCAAAAAAACGCCGAAAAATGTCTCATAAAAAATCATTTGTAAAACATGCCACAAAGTAAACTAGAATCTCAAGCAATGCATATTAAATCCTACCGGAAAAATATCCGAAATTGCCCCGCAAAAATACTTTAAACTCAGGGGCCAAATGTGCATATGTAGATAAGTAGTTGATTTTTGTTGTTAATTATTAGTATTGTAATATTTCAAAATGCACTCTAATATCAATAATATGGCAGTTACCCGTCACCTTATATAACAACCTTATAAGACAATATTTTAATTACATAAATAATATAAATACATAGCTCAATTAGACCTCTTTTTGTCCAAAGTAATAAATTCCAATTTCCTACTTTTCTGCCTTTCAGCATTCAAAAGCGCATTAATCAACACAATGCAAACAATTGTATCGGATCTTACACTGCCAACAACTGTAGTAACACCTGTCGCTGTTACAGCCACCACCTCATCACCTGCAGCAACAGACACACAAANCCAGTAAGTTTGCCTGTCGGCTGGAAAAGGGCAAAAAAACGCCGAAAAATGTCTCATAAAAAATCATTTGTAAAACATGCCACAAAGTAAAATAGAATCTCAAGCAATGCATATTAAATCGTACCGGAAAAATATCCGAAATTGCCCCGCAAAAATACTTTAAGCTCAGGGGCCAAATGTGCATATGTAGATAAGTAGTTGATTTTTGTTGTTAATTATTATTATGCAGTCTATAATTGTAATATTTCAAAATGCACTCTAATGTCAATAATATGACAGTTACCCCTCGCCCTATGTAACATCCTTATAAGACAATATTTTAATTACATAAATAATATACATACATAGCTCAATTAGACCTCTTTTTGTCCAAAGTAATAAATTCCAATTTCCTACTTTTCTGCCTTTCAGCATTCAAAAGCGCATTAATCAATACAATGCAAACAATTGTATCGGATCTTACACCGCCAACAACTGTAGTAACACGTGTCGCTGTTACAGCCACCACCTCATCACCTGCAGCAACAGACACACAAACAAAGTTGGTGGCAAATGGGAAATTCGTCCAAATCGGCCAATACGAACAAAACAGTGAAGAGGAAAATGACAAATATGAGAAAAGTGACTCTAGGGAAAGCGCTGAGGAGCAACGATTTATCGTTAAATACCGACAAAGTTATTATGATATAACACGTTTCTTGAAAAATCATCCAGGTGGCATAAATACGTTGCGTGGTCTCAACAATGGCGATATGACAACACGTTTCCTACACGCGCCCCCACACTCCGATGCTGCCATGTACCTGATGAAAGAATACAAACTAAAATCAGCATATTTACAAAATGACACCAAGCGAGAGCAAAATCTGCATCAAAGACAACAGAGGGTGCATAATGTTGATCTGATTGTAGCTGATGATGACGTGCAACAGCACCCAGTGTTTGAAGCAAGCGCGAGGGCGAATGGTATTGAATTGATTGCGAATGCTTTGCAAGAAGATAAAAACAATAATCAGCTGGATGAAAGTATGGAGGTGAGTGTAAAACTTCCCTGTAAAAAAAAGGATTAATCAATCACTCCAAAAATCTCCAAGCCTCGTGCATTTGATACTCCTTTTTAATATTGCATGTCCTTATGGGCGAGCACTTCTTTTGAATGTAGGACAAAGAGGGTTATTCTTTTGATAGATATTTCTTGGCTCGTTTATTATTTACCTACACCGCAACGTATCAATAAGCGTGCAATCAAAACAATTTTTGGAAAAACTAAACAAAAAATACTTTTATTGCTCGTTTATTAATCCAAATACATTTTTACTGGATTATACGAAATGGTATGTATGTATGTATGTATGTAAGTACCGCCTAGTGTAAAATGGAAAAGGAAATGCCTAAATTTTGCCGACATTTATGTCAGTGCTGCCAAATTCCGCACAACATTCAACTATAGCACTTCCCATGTACATACGTACAAATGTACATTTGTTTGCAAATGGATGAGATTGCAAAAAGTAATTATATTCTACAAATATTGTAAAATATCCTGAATATACTATTTATGTACATATGTAGTTGGTGTTTTTAACTATATTGCACTTTTTTTATCGCTCTTCGTTTCTCATTGCTATGACAGCAATAAATTGGAATTTATTCGTCAGCCCGGACGGTTCTTAGGCAGTATATGTAAATATACTACATATAGATAGTTTAGTGGTAAATAAGTATGTACTTACTTATGTTTGGTTAGGTTTTAAACACTACATATTGCACAAACACATTTTCAAGAATTAATAATCAAGATATCATGCATTATACACTAGTTAATGCCAAACTTTGTTTCACAACGCCTAGATAAGATAGTAAGACTATTCACAAGAAAATGTCGGTTAAGTACGCACTTGCACATATGTACATACAAATGTATGTAGATGCTTCTATGGGCGCGCGCAATTTGACAGGTTCAATGGTACCAAATATCGTAATCTTACACAAGCACATACATATGTACGTTACGATATCCGCTGATTCTGATTTTTGAATTTAGCGACTCATGCATATGTGTACATACATATGCACATATATATGAGATGTGTTCGATGAACGCACTAGAGTACTCTATGTAGTGAAACTTGGCGAATCCTGCAAAGTTAAAAATTGAACTAAGTATTTTAATAATTGGTGGCTGATGTGGTGTAGTGATTAGCAGTGCGCGCTACCAATCCAAAGGGCCTGGGTTCAAGTTCGGTTCAACCCAACATCAAAAAATAAAAAAAAAAACAAAAACGGGGTTTTTTCTAATAACGGCCGCCCCTCAGCAGGAAATGGCGAACCTACACTGGATGGCAATCGGCACTTGTGTCTACATGCTTTAAGACGTGTATTTACAAATTATATCAAGAGTTGGCGGGCGAGTCAAAGAAATATTTTTCTTCAGTCGTTCCTCGTTCCCAAAACTCTGACCATAGGTACATACATATGTATGTATATATTTTTTTATTTTACCTGAATTAAATTTTTTAATTATTTAGTTGCACTCTATCCAGTGTCAAATGCAGTTCTGAACTAAACTAAATATTCTACATTTTTAGTGCACGCACATACATGCATACATATGTACATACATAACCCATTATTTTAAAAAAGGAATTTTTTTAGCTTTATTCCATGTCTAATGACTTACATTGGTACATGTTTTTAAATTGCATAAGCATTTGCACTAGTACATACGAGTACTTCTTTCCTCTTTAGAATGATTTTTCACTTATTTTTCGTAAGTATTTCGTATATCCGGTAGATATGCAACGCTATACATATATGCCAATAACCGATTTAACCTCAAATTTGCAATATATCACCAAAAGAAATCGGAAGTGAATTTCGGTGAAAATAAACTAATTTTCATTTTTTTCATATAGTCAAGTGAAATACGAAAAGCCGTAACTAACATCGTCACGTGAAATGCAAATAGTCCTAACTAATNTTTGAAATTTACTATTAAATAAGGTTTTTGTTGAAAACTAAGTAGTTTATATTTAGTTACAATCTATTATAGCACGAAAAAATGTGGTTGAAAGGGTAAGTTTATGAAAAGGTNGTGACGATATTTATGTGTAAGTCCTGATGCTGTCGAGGAACAGCCATAGTTGCATCCGAAAACGAGGCATAGAAACGGCATTAATCAGTTGGCAGATATGTTCTCAGTACGGTCAAATGTTTGAAATTATTCTGAGATTGTGTTTTAACAGGTTAGTAAGATGGTTTACGCTTTTTGAGGTTATAACCTGCGAGTTGACTTACTCTGTGGGCATTTAGTACTTGCGGTGCTGTAATTGTGGCATTCAAATCTTTCGAAATAAAAATATAAAAGACAAAAATATTTAACTTCGTACCATCATTGTAAAAACTACGGTAAAACTGTAGGCCTCTCCATTTGTGTAGAAACATTAAGACNCCCAAAAAGTCTTTGGGGAATTTGTATGCTGCTACAACAACAACAACATGGTTTATGCTTTTTGAGGTTATAACCTGCGAGTTGACTTACTCTGTTGGCATTTAGTACTTGCGGTGCTGTAATTGTGGCATTCAAATCTTTCGAAATTAAAATATAAAAGACAAAAATATTTAACTTCGTACCATCATTGTAAAAACTACGGTAAAACTGTAGGCCTCTCCATTTGTGTAGAAACATTAAGACGCAGAACACATATTGGAGGAGAAACTCGGCCAAAAACTTACCAAAAGTGTAAGCGTAAAAATATTATTTTATTCCTAATTTTAAAAGTATGTAAACGTAGGCATGTATGAATATGTGTATGTACTAAAATTAATAGATACCGCTATCTATTATGGCACATTCCCTTTGTCGCTAGTAACGGTTTGCATATAAGTGCACATACATATCGTTACCTTAATATAGAAAGGCCCTACCTCATATAGTAGCTCAAATACAAAAATCCGTAATCAAGAAAAAATCCAAAATTCCCTTTTGATTGATTATGATGCGTTTCATCGAATTCAAAGTCCCCACATCATTTTAAGCAATACAAAATTTTAGTTAGTTACGGCGTTTTGNTACCGCTATCTATTATGGCACATTCCCTTTGTCGCTAGTAACGGTTTGCATATAAGTGCACATACATATCGTTACCTTAATATAGAAAGGCCCTACCTCATATAGTAGCTGAAATACAAAAATCCGTAATCAAGTAAAAATCCAAAAGTCCCCACATCATTTTAAGCAATACAAAATTTTAGTTAGTTACGGCGTTTTTGCATTTCAGTGACTATATGAGTTAGGGCCTTTCTATATTAAGGTAACGA